ATACTAAGCTAAGTTTAAATCCTCCTTTGATGTCATTATTTTTAGTAGTTTTTGTCTTTAAATGTAATCTATTTTATTTCCTCGGGTCATTCAGTTCAAGTTCTGTCCTGATGCAAAATTGCAGCGGACAGAGGAAAAATATGAAATAGGAAATAACGAGGTTTTCTTTTTGTAATCTTGAGGGCTATTTCATATAATACAAGTTAGAAATTACCCATACAAGGGTTAAAGAGGTCATTGAAGCCTTATCACCGGCAGCCGTTGTATCTGGAGGGTTTTCCTAGATAAGTCCTGATAACTAAAGGTTATCTTTGATACATAGGAAGGAGCCAGAGGCAGCCGGTGACTCCCGACCACTACTGATACCCGTGATGCCTCCGATACCTACCTGCAACATGTGGCCATGTAGCAACAAAGCAGCAGCACTGTCTCTGGTGTCACAAGCCCAATGAAAGAGGAGCTGGCGGCCTCGGAGTCGGGCTCAGTGACGCACCTACCATCTGACTTCAAGTCCTTCAAGTTTCCACGGAGACACAACTTCTGACACGGCCGTGTCATGATTCAACCACGCGGTGAAGCGAGGCACTGTGACTCCTCCTTTCCCTGAGCATTCTTCCTCATATTCCCTTACAGTGTCTGTGGGGAGAGAAGTTAAACACTCTGAGCTTGGAAAACAAAGAGGCTTTTGCAAAGATAGAAAAGGGAAGCTCATCACATGATATCTCAGCCAAATCTCACTCCATTTTTGGAAGAGAGCCGTGGGAAGGTCTCTCTGTAGTCTGTCAAGAAGCTGCAGTAATGGTTTCTGGCTAATCTTTGGGAGAAATGCGTATAAGATGTTTAAAAAGAAATGAAAGAAAACATGGTTTACACACACATTATAATTGCATTTAAGCCTGCTAAGTCTTTTCTCATAGGTTACTGTAGGTTTGACCATATTTAGCAGATTTCAGTTATATCAGTTAGAGATACAGTATTGCAAAGGAAATAATAGCAGATTGAGGTCTTGGGGCTGTAAAAACAAGCATTTGATTTGCATTTAGGCAATTTAAGAGTGTTTATTGTAAGCAGACTCTGCGGCTGCGTTGATGTAAGACTGTACTCGTCACCATTCTTTGTTTGCATGTTTCTCGAGTTCACTAGTTGACTGTGTGGAATGATCATCAGACATTCTGCAGTATTTGATTGCGTTTTGGTCCCCAAAAGAAAAAGACAAAACAATTCATGAAAATACAAAACAAATGAGCCGTCTTTAGCTAAAACTTTCATACTATATATGAGAATTGATACATATGTGTATTATATAAAAAAAATGCAATAAGACCTTTAACGCGTCTGCTGGGTCAACTGTAGTGGACATAGCAGGCTAAACAAAACACGTGTTTGTCTTACTGTGGGAATTGTTGACGCAAAGACAATTGCAAGCCTTGTCCCCCTGCTTGCTTCTGAAAGATGTGATGCATTAACTGAAGACAATACTTGTTTGATGCATTGTTGGCTCGGCTATTTCTTTTGTTAGAGACAGAAGTTGGGTGTGTAATTCAGCACACACACACACACACACACACACACACACACACACACACCGCTGGGGGAGCTGAGAGAGCAATGGAATGTAAGGCCTGTAATGGAATGCTCACACACAAGCTTAAGCCAGCTGTACAATATTAACAGAGCCCAAAGTGCGTCATAGCTGCCACAGCTGACACTCTGTGTGTGTGTGTGTGTGTGTGTTTGTGCATGTGTGTGTTCGGCGCTTCCCTTTAATCTCTCTGTTGCAGTGCCACACCAGTCTTGTGCTGATGTATGAGCCTCCAAATTAAAAGTCATGGGTGGTGCAGGAACAATGTGAGAACATTAACATAATGTGCAGTGTGACATAAATGGAGCATGAGAATGTTCCCAATTTGTTTCATTGAGTCATACAAACATTTAAGCTTCTCGTTGTTCTAAACCTGATGATGAGAACATTTAAAGTCAAACAGGATCTGCAGTTTCAAGCAGTTTACATTTTCCATTACAGTTTATTTCTCAAGCACCATTAGTGTCATACCTGGTTACACTCCTGTTGTGGAATCCAAGCAAATGCAGTTTTGAGCTACATTTTAGTTTATACCCACATGGCACGGTGCCTTGAAACTGAGCTCAAGTTTACTTACTCACTCAAGTTTTGTCTTCCATATGAATCATCCTGGTGCTGCCCAGCTACCAACTATATGCTCTAATTCCGGGTGTGTGCATATAAAGTTCAGGCTTAACCAGCGCCTACTCCCAAAATGAGCCACTCATCGTGTTCATCATCAACAAGTGAACGCAAAATAACTCACAGTGTAACATTTCTGCATCAAGTTGCGCTCAAACACCTGACCAGATGATAGAGTGAAGAAAACCTAATAGTTAGAATTAGTTGAGATGTTTCTCAACTTATGAAACACATGACATTTCTGTGTGCTGCCGTGTGATCACCAGCATGTCCAGGCTCTCCTCGTCCTTGTTATTCTTCCCCTCCAGCGACGAGCTTCAGGCGAGTCAGTTTTATTACAGTCATTGGGAACAAGGCAATGGAGCAAGTCGCACCTGTATCAATAGATCGATTGAATTATTTTAGCAAATAATACATTTTGGTTCGCAGATGTTCGTAGCAGGGTTCTCTTAGATGAGTTCTATCCTGCACTTCCAAAAGTTATTTATTTGCTTTGCTCTGAACCTCCTGACGGTTCACAAATCCTCTGGTGTTCACACCCGTCATCCAGCCAGAGAGCTCGAAAAATGGCAGCGACGCAAGTGTGCTGTTTCTCACTCACTTACACACAATTAGGAGAGTGCTGAACTCATTGAGCAGAGGAACCCAAGAAGCCCCCCACAAAGGCTCCCCGAGAATATTTCTCATGTGTTTCTGTTCAGGCCAGTGGAGTTCGTGTGTTCGCTATCTGTGCCACGAAAATAGTTCCCGTGACCGATACAACATTTACACGGCAGGTCTAAACCTCTCTTTTGTCATCAGACGTTGAGTTCATTTGTAATCTGTAGCTGGTCCCTGAGGAGGGAAATTATTTTTACAATTCACGCAATGAACGCCACTTTTGATAAGCCGGTTATTTGAATGTTTTGCGGCGCGCTGTCGCTGTGTGTAACATTGGATTCTTGTCACTTCCTGTGTTTGTTTGTGTATGTGTGTGAGAGAGAGAGAGAGGATAGCGCCATCCAAGCCACATTAACGCGCAAACTAGTCCAGTCAAAACCTACCAAATACTTCTTCTTCTTCTTTACTGCTTTTGCTGTTTCATATTTCGACAAGTTAAAACAACTAGACACTTACGAAGACGCACCATTACTCTTTTACTACGATGATGAGCAATAAGAACACCAGAGTTACCTCACATATATCTTTGGCATTTGTTATTAGTCCATGTCAAGTATTCACTGTGTACCTACACTGACTTATCTGCGATATCAGCTGACATGTCAGTCCTGTCCTTTCCGGAGTGGAGCTCCGTAAGAAGCTGTCGTTACTTCTGCTGAGGTGGATGGAAACTGGGTGAATTTTGTAAAGGAACAAATAAAGAGGAAGTAGACTATTCACAGTAAATAATTGTTAGAAAGAAGAATCCGAGCTTCTGTGTCTCAGGTGTACACATTCCGCTTTTCTGTTTTATGTCAACACCGCGAGCGGAAGGTTGTCGGTGAGTTTTTCCACAAACATGAATCAGACGGCCACCGAGTGCTGTTGAGAACGATTTGCAGAACAGCTTGTTCGTTAATTCAAGGTCACGTCCGCAGCAGGCCGCGGCTGATGACTGGTTTGTTTTGGCTGACTGCATGTCGAATGCGTGGCGTTCCTTTTGCAGCGAACCCTCAGGAGCAGCTGCCTGGGGGGTCAAACGCCAAATGTCAAGTCGTACGTTAAATCTATCAGCACATGTAGGTGTGGAATAGTCTCGCTGCAGGTGTTGAAACGGAGATGGCGAGGCGGCATGTGGCTCACGGGTGGTTTGATGCAGACAAACTGTCCGCTCTCAGCTTTATGACCCGCAGGAGGGACCTCGGGGTCCAATGCATCATCACTCTGCATGTCTCGTTGGGTGCCAGCGCATCAACAGTTTGCCACGTCATCAGTAAGTGAAAGGGGATTAAGGGTTGTTAAGAAGCTAATGCACCCATTTCTGCGTTGTCCAGAAGTATTTTCTCACTGTCATTGTGTCAGTTGTCGATGGATAAATTATAACATCTGTACAAAATAGTATAACTCAAACTTAATCAAGCTGCCATCAAAGGATTTTATGATAAATAAAACAGTATTTGAGATACGACCTAAAGTTTGGCTGCACCAGATTTATTACAAGTATTCAGTAATAGAAAGTATCATTATTTTAGACATGCTGCAGAATGAAATCACAGCATTTCATCATACGGATCATTACATTTAAAGATTAAAGCGTTGTATTTATCACAAGCTTTTTTAATATTCGTGGAAAGATGCGTGGTTGTGCTAAAAGATGAGTGTGCAATGAAAATAATAAGGTTGTAAATGATAATCAGAAAGACATATATAAAGCATAGATGATTAGATTAAAAGTCTAATAATGTAAGCAGTTTTCCAGCATATATACATATTAGAAGTACTACAGTTGATGAATCTTCAACTTGACTAAATTCATCAACTGTAAAAAACGAGTTGTAAAAGTGCAGTGAAGTTTTGTACAGTTAATATCAGTAAAGTTATGATCATAAAACATTCAAACCGAGTTTAGGAAGTGAACTTTATTTAAATAAATAGCCACATAAATAAACAATCCTTCTTGGTCCAACAATCTTTTTCTTTCCTTTCCTTCTTCCCTTCACACAATCACACACAATCAGACACACACACACACACACGCAAATACATAGATAAAAACACTCACACAATTTAAATGACAAATCAGATAAAGAAAAAAAAGAAATAGTTCATCAAAAAAGGTCATCTTACACATTTGCAAAAAGTGTGTTTTGTGAAGTTCTTTCATCATGGGAAACATTTTTTAATAAAGTGCTTCTGTCTCCACGGATCGTTCAAAGGTCAGACAGGGAAGATAGAGAGAGTTCAGAGTAGATATTGAACTTTCGTTCTTCCGCGTAGCGGAGCTGTAGACCTCTGACCACGAGTTTGTTCAAAGGCACAAGTGTTGGGAGGGAGTGCAAAAACAAACCAATTGAACTAACTAATTGAGCTTGCAACTATTTATTACACATCTATTGCAGCTCTCGAGTATGTTCTCTGAGTTAGAGTGCACTAATAAACCAGCTTGTTGTAGATCATTTATAATTATGGACAACTAAAGAAAGTTCAACTTCCAGCACAACGTGGTATATTGCTATGTTTGGATTTATTTTTCTTTTTTCTTCTTTTTTTCTAGAAAAGTAAAAAAAAAAAAGGAACACGACTACGGTCCTGATAGTAAAAGCTAGAAATGTCAACAATATCAGCATTTGATGGAAGCGGGAGTTTTCTCAAAGCTAAAGCTAAGGAGATAATTTAGGATATATGCTTGCTAACCACCACGCTACATTTTGAGGACGCATTCAAAGTGAAAAGTCAGTAGTGTATCTGTGATGGATCGCCATCTCTTGTGCTGTTCGCTCTTTGGTAAACCCAGATTCTTCCTTTCAGTTAAATAACTATAAGCATACTGTGTGAAGAAACAGCATTTTGAAAAGTGTTTCTATCAATTTTACAGCATCAAGCAATATGTTATATATCTAGTACCTGTTAAAGTCAGCTAGCACAGCAAACCAAAAAGGAATAACACAACGAAAATGTACATTTTGACCATCCTATGCAGATCCCCATCCTCCTTCTGTATTTCAATATGAAATATTGCACGGTTCCCAGTCTTTGTTTTGTCCAAATTGACAGTCCTCCGATATTCTGGTATTGAACACTTTTTGTTCAGCGAATATTTTTTTTTTACAGCTTCCCAAGTACTTGCTTCTGCGGAGGTAGAAACATCATCTTACTTGAAGGTGCTCATCAAACGAAGGGAATACGGTCTTTGTATCCACAAGTGTAAGGTGATGTCCCTGTTGTGCTTTACTCAACCAGACACCATCTTCCTTCCGTTTTGGCTGATAAGGATGTAGCAGCTACTTGAGGTAAAAGCAGCAGTTGCGTAGCTACAATAGCAAAACAAATAATCACAGTTTCAATACATATCAAGTCCTTCAGTGAAGCTTAGGGCATTGTATTGGATGTCCATTGCACTGCTACAGAGAAATGTCTTTCAAAGGCGGACAAAGTGGAAAAAAGAAAATTGAAATGTTGGTCCTTTGTCCAATGAGGTGAAAAACATTGAGTACAGGAAATGACACAATACGTGTCTAAAATATAATGAGGAAAAAGGGAGGCTTCCTGTATTCAACAAAACCATAAAATGGACTTCGACATAATACAAACGTGAGCAATAATTGTATCGGCTAGTTTCAGCTCTCATTCAGGTCAGCTAATGAGAGTTTTAGGTCTGTTATTGCTCCTCTGGAGTCCAGAGTTTGGTTATTGCTTAGTCTATAGCTTATTATATCAAAAGAGCACACAACATACATACGTGGTGGGGACACATTCTCGTATGTGTACCGCATGTTGTTGAACAAAGTGTACTTTTGTCGCTTGCGCTTCGCTTTTTGTTCTTCCTCCTGAATTTTGCTCTTTTCTTCTCAGCTCAGCATCAAGATTCTTTCTTCCCGCGGACAGAACAAATAGCTGGTGCCTTTATTTCACCATCACACAGCTACTGAGCTGCATGTCCGGGTCGGTGCCGGAGGCCGAGCTTGTGCTCCACAATGCCGGTTTAGACAGGATGGGGAAGGTGCCTCGTGCTGCCGACTGGGGCTGCTGTTGGAGGATGATGGGGGGCTGAGGTTGTGTTTGCTGGCTGATGTGCAGACGAGCCTCTAGAAGGTAAGCGGCGGAGGCCACGGGGGACAGAGAGGAGGCGTAGCAGCACGAGGGGGATGAGGAGCCGCCGGAGGAGGAGGTCTTGAGGGTTTTCCAGGCGACGTGCGATAAACCCAGCGAAGCTTGCTGAGAGGGCAGGGCGGAGGAGACGGCCGTGTCAAACATGGAGGGGGAAGCGAAGGCCGTAGAAGGTGGAGGAGAGGGTGACTGCTGCTGGGCCAGAAAGAGCAGGGGATTTTGTGTTGGTCCTGTGTGAACAGCTTTGATCTGAGGCTGAGGTTGGTGCTGGATCTGTAGCATCCTGGAAAACACACCAAAGATCAGACTCGCTATATTTGCATGAAGATATCAGATATATTAGAGGTAACAGAACGCTTGTATGAAATAACTGGCAGGTGTCTCACCTTTGCTGGTGCAGCACCTCCTCCAGCATGCTGCGGTGCTCGCAGTGAGCTGGACCCGCTGCGCCTCGGCTGCCACGTGTACTGGAGAGTGGAGGAAATACCTGCCTCGTCAGACCCTTAATCTTATTTAATCCCAGGAGCCCTTTAGTACGTGTGTTTTTCCTCAGCTGCTGGCGGAAAGCTTTAAGGCCTGGGAAAGACATGTGAGAGAGTTACACAACCGTCCTCTGATCTGATAACGTGACACCTTCTTTTTTTTTCTTTTTTAAATCAGCTGAGTGCGTAAACAAATCTTGTTGTTAGTGCTCCTGTACCTTGTGTGAGGGAGGTGTCAGAGGCTCTGCGGCCTTCCTGGAAGCTGGCAGCTGGCAGGCAGGCCTGGCCCTGGGGCAGGAGGTGGGAGGAGACGGTCAGGGGAGCTCCAGCAGGCAGCAGAGCGCCACTCTTATTCCCAGAGGCCAGAAGGGTTGACATCTCCCCCCGAGCCTCCCGCAAAGTGGGAACTGCACTGGATGAGGACTTCAGACAGCCGTCAGAAGAGGCGCCATCTGAGGGACAGACCACAATACCTACAGAAGGGAGAAGAGAGGACATTACGACTCTGCATGCGCGAAAGGACTGACCGCTGCGTGGACTGACCGCTATGAGATCACATTCTTACATGGGGGGCTGCATTGGTGGAAACGGGCCGACACCTCGGCCAGGGTGTGTCTGCGGGAGGTGGTGGTGGGAGGGAGAAGAGGCCCGGGAGTCTGCGTTACCTCCTCCTCCTCCAGGTCCCGGGGTCGCACTTCTTCGCTGATGCTGGTCTCCAGCAGGCTGTTGGGTGAGATGGAGCGGTTCCACAGCAGTCTGTTCAGACTGGCCTCCGCTGGAAACACCACGCGCTGAAACGGGAGGAGTTGGACTGTCAGCCACTCATTGACAGGCGCAGTATTTGCATTATCAGTAGACAGGGGCAGAGGGTGAAGCCTCCCAACGTCTGAGCTGCTTAATGGTGTCTAATCGGCAATTACCTGGAACAAGCCACTTTGGTCGTACTCCATCTCCGGGTACACTTGAGGAGTGCTTTTGGCCGGAATGGAAAATGCTGTGCTCCTAAAGCTGTCGGTGGACTCCATGATCACCTAGAAGCCAGCAGACAGCACGCCACGTTTTAGAACTCAAGCGTAAAGCCGCATGTTACGTCGGTTCTAGGTATAATTTTACACTCAATACACGCAGCTGAGGCGCTTACCTCTGGGCCGGTGGTGTCGGAGGAGCTCCTGGGTCTCTGGCTCCAGGTCCCACACTGGCGGCTCAGCTGTTGGTTGCGATGCTCTCTCACTCTCTCCAGCAGCAGGTAGTAGATTGCAGAGAAGTGATTATAGCTGCTGCTCTGTAGAGACTGGGGAAAAGGAGACGCAGCAGATTAGTGGTGTTTCCTCTCCTTGGGGCACAGTGTGAGTCTCCCAGAACCGCTCACAAAGTGCTAAAACGCCACGTTCAGTCACCTCGATCGTCTTCTGGCGGTTGATGCCCAGCGTGCTCATGATGCCCAGCACTGGTTCACTGTAGTCCCCGAGGTTGGAGTTGTACTCCGTCAGGGAATGGCTCAGGGTCTGGCGGGCGGCTGTTGGGTCTGCCAGCATCCAACGGTGCTGTTTGATCTGGGCCACGCTGATCCTCCTGGCCGGGTCCACCACCAGCATCTTACGGATTAGGTTTTCACAGTCTGGAGGAGGAAATGGAACGTTTAGTTTGGGATTTTGATTCAGGCAGATTTCAGAATTAGCGCTATTTCTTTTGCGCTGCTGTTGCCGTTATACCTTGAGACATAAAGAAAGGGATTCTGAATCGTCCCTCAGTGACTCTTTGTCTGAGTGCAGGAAGGCCGGGTCCATCAAATGGAAAAGAGCCACAGACAAGAACATAAAGTACCACTCCCAGACTCTGTAAATAAAATAGCAAAAAGGAGAATATTAACATAAGAAGAAAATTAATGCTGGATTGAATAATTCTGCCAATATTCTCATTCTGCAAGCTTACCCAAATGTCCAGCTGCGGCCCTTCGTACTCTTTCCCTTCAAACACTTCGGGGGCAGCGTAAGGCGGGCTGCCACACCATGTGGACAGAGGCTCCCCTGCATTGTAGAAGTTTCCAAATCCAAAGTCTGTACGTACACAGGAAGAGACACACAACATTAATTCAAACTCGTATGTTTTTTTTCTTCAATGAGGAGCTCAGGGCGTCTTTCAGTGTCTCATACGAGATCGTATTGAGCATTCACAATTCATAAAACGTCTAGTCTTTCCAGAACAATCACTTGATTCAGAAATGTTTACTACTTCCTCAAGAGGGGAAATCAACAAGAATGCAAAACAGCAGCAGGGTTCAAAGATAGGGTGTCAGATTTAAAGCATTGCTAACCGCGGACCTACCAGCCAGTTTGATGTTCATGTTGGCATCCAGCAACAGGTTCTCTGTTTTTAGGTCGCGGTGAACAATGTGGTGTTGGTGGCAGTAGTCCACTGCTGTAAGAATCTGCCAAAACTTCTTTCGCGCCTCATCTTCACTCATACGGCCATTTGTGGTCAGGTGGTCTGGAGGGATGAGGGATACTTTAGTTCAAGTCGAAATTTGGCTTACAGTCATTTTAAAAGTGCAAAAAAACATATTTGAAAAAGCTTAACTCACCAAACATTTCTCCGTTCTTCGCATACTCGGTCACAATGTACAGCATGTCTGTGGTCTCCATTACCTAAGAGATACAAGAGAGGGAAGAAAAGTTGAAGTGTTATTAGCGGCTGGTGAACATGAAGGGAAAAACCTGTTCCGTCCCCATGTCCTCTGGTTCAGCCTGCTTCAGGCATCTCTTGCCGTGAGACATTTTATACCACATCCCCAGAAGGGTAAATACATTCATACACAGACAAATCATTAGAAATGTATATATATGTTATTCCTAAGACTGGCTAGTTGGCAACAGATTATCTCTTTGAATGAGTGTATCATAAAAACCATAGTTTCAATCACTTGAGAAAGACGCCCAATTCCCAATCCTTCTCTTAGAGCTCATAGAAAGCTTTAATTTCCCAAGTGAGCCCTCAGGGACGCCGTAGTTGAGCAGAAAAGCAGCTCGTCATACGACAAAGCCCTGTCTGAAATTAAATTAAATATCACTAAATTCCACTGAATGTTGGAGTTTAATTCATTTTGTCCAACAGCCCCTTTAGAAAGCCGAGAGGAGGAGGATTCAACACACTGTCCCGTCCGAGCGGCGAGCCGTCTTTATCAGAGGGACGGAGCAGCTCCCCGGGGCTCTGTCACCTTGAGGTGCAGCTGACGTCACAGCTCTCGAGAACAGGCACAGCACGTCAAGGACCCTTAAACCAATCCCCGAGCAAGATTAAGCCTTTAGGACGAATGTCCATTCATTTTCCACGAAGTAGGTCTACGGTTGTTGGTGCTAAAAGACGACTGAGAGAAATATTCAAAGCGAAGACTCTGTGTTGGATGGCAGCTGCTTTCCATTGGGTGCAAATATTTCAGATGTCTTGTATCGCACACATTTCTTGTAATTTAGTCTGACATATCTGAAATCTTACATTTAGAGGGGAGTGTATGATTGATGCAAGGTCAAAGAGAGGCAGAAAAAAAGGCCTCAATGGTCCTTGACAAATAACATTCTACTCTCATGAGAGAATAGAAGGAGCGGCTAATTTATCAGGTCACAGGTCCTAGACGATCATTGAGCCATCTGACCAGCATCGCTCCCGCCAACCCAAGGGCACGGAAAAAAGGATGCAGGATGCATCACATGCAGCACAGAAAGGGGTCATCCATGTCGCACATCAGAGCTGTCATTCCATCTTCAACAGCACATGGCCGATAATAATGCAACTGTATTCATTTCATCTTCAAAATAGGTTGAATAGGTTTCTTGATGTTATTTAACATGTATTGTTATTATAACCACTAGACTCTATTAAACCTTTATTAAAAATGCTAATCCAGTTTAATTTCCTAAAGCATTAGCTCCGAAGATAAATGCCTTGTATGTTTGACATATTTTGGCAATAAATGTTTCCTGATTCCTGATTAACGCTCACATAAGGCGAAGGAAAGAATCAAATCCTTACAATTGTGGAGCCGGACAAAGGGAAGGTTTCCCCATTTTTATCTCCCAGTTTCGGTCAATTGGTCACTACTTCAATTGTCTTATTGTGAAGGCCTTTTATGAAAGAAAGAAAACAATAATACCATGCTTTTATTGTTTTAGCCAAGACAGATCATTTCGTAATAAATACTGATTGACTGCTTAATGACTGACATGAAGTAATCTCTCAACAGCAGGGAAACGGCACAGCGGCCTCTGTGTGTTTTTCTTTGCGTGGGTGAACGTTTGTCTCTTGACAGACGCCTGCCACAATGCCGGGAAAGCCAGCAGAGGGAAAAAAAGCGGATTCCCCGACTAAGTCTTCAATATGATTAGAAGTAAAGCAGCGCTATGTGGCGCGTTCACGTGCCGTGCGGACACGTTGCACGTAGCTTTAACAGATGCTAATTGGCTCAACGGTGAGACCTTTGGACACCTGTTTGTTTAAGCAGAAGCCTCCGGACCCTTCTCTGCATTCACCATATCTACCATCACCTCCACTGGTTTACAACTGAAAACACCTCGTGCGTAGCACCGACGTGGTGGTCATGATTATTCTCAGTGTATCTCTTTGACACACACACACACACACACGTACAGGCACATGCAGACACACACAGGGGGAGGTCAAAAGGGATTGCACTAATGCCGTTGTGCTGATTCAATGTGCTCTAAAGAGTCACCGGCTCCCGACAAGCTAATCCAAAACCATCAGATAACAAAAGCACCTTATTTTGCAGATCAGAATCCACATTTCAACAATAACGAGGCACAATGGTCAGCACCACAGTAGTAAATGAGGGTAATACATAAGCACCCATTTTGCAAAGCTTCCCACACCATTGCATTTTACACTTTCGTATTCATGCATGCGTTGCTGAACTTTGAGCCGTCACACAACCAGCATTCACAGTGGACGATGTATTTCAGGATGGATAAGTCAATGATGCACGCACACGCCTTTCTGCACGCAGACGCGAAAGATAATACACACCTGGTAGAGTTTGATGATATGGGGGTGGTTTAGCAGCTTCATAATCTGCACCTCTCTGTAAATTTTTTCCAAGTTGGAGGGGTTCAGTCTGGTCTTGTCGATGATCTTAATCGCCACCTGAAAATGAAAAATTGGAATAAATTAGAATCATGCAGCTTTGATAATGTGTAAATACAGCCACCGAATTTGGAGGAGCGCTGCTGACCTGAGTTTTAGTGACTTTATGTTTGGCCAGTTTCACCACGGCAAAGTTTCCCTTTCCCAGGGTGCGGATGATCTCATAAAACCCGACCTGCAGGGGTCTTCCCTGGGCAGCGCTGGATTGAGCCCCCCGGCTGTTCTCGGTCATGATCACCATGTTGCAGCCACGGTCAGGAGGGAAAGTATAAGGCTGCTACCTGCAGAGACAAAGGCAACCCTGTATTTCAGTGCTCTTCATTTCACTGCATATTCAAAGATTTTACTTTTTTACAAAATAATTTTAAGGTTTTTTTTTTGTTGTCCAAATCAACGAAGTACAACAAATTAATTTAAGCGCACTGGTCGGGAGTCAGTGAGATACTATCAACATTTTCTTCACAGTCATACGGTCAAAATTGAAATTCCTAATACGGCAAAAATAAATTGATACGGGCATGTTTCTCTAATATCAGTCCCATAGATCCAATTCAATGAGAATGATGAGTGAATTGTGGTTAGTCAAATTAGAAATATATGTTTATTAGTAGTGGTTTTGGTTTCATACGAAACTAAAACACGTGTCTTTGGATTGTGTAAGAAAATTACAAGATTACAGCGAGGAAAACGTGAGGTAGTGAGGCGAGTCCAATGGAGAGAAGAGTCTCGTCTTACCTTAATAAACGGACAACAACCTTCTCTCGCAGTCCAGGCGGCTCTCAGAAGAGACGTAAACCATTCCACAACCACAGCGGCGAAAAGTAGGAAATGGATGTAGAAAACGCGCAATAATAAACTTTTTCTTTCGCCTCTTATAATTCGACTTTTTTTTCTTACAAGTCTTTGGGCCCGGGACTCGGCTGCGGCCGGTGTGTGGCTGAGCGCTCCGCCGGAATGCAGAGCGCAGGGCTTCGGCACTCACAGGGGGAACTCCTCCTCCGCCTCCCCCCTCCTCCTCCCTCCGCCGCCATAACAAATTGATACCCACCTTATTAACGTCACACCCGCGTCAGAGCTCCGAGCTGGGTGCAAGGCAAGGCAAGGCCGGGCCCGAGCGCAAGGCACGGGTTGCCGGGCAACCGCGCGGCTCGGGCACACGGTGACGTGCGTGCTGATGGAGGGGTTGCTTGGAGATGAGGACGGTGACGTCAGTCGTAGAGATGTGACACCACGTGATGTTTCCCTCTGCCGGGCTTCTGCCTCGCTCTCATTTCGCACCGCGCGCGTGAAACAGGAACAGGAAGCAACTGGTGATTCTCAGTTAGGGTTTTTTTTTTTTTTAAACGCTTAAAAAAAAAAAAAAAACTTGGTTCCACCTGAAAAATAATAGAAGGAACTCATACTCATTATTGTAGCATAAAACACATTCAAGTGTTTATTTAATCGATTTTATTAAATGATATCTTATTCTATTATATCCAGCTCGATTTTTTATGGAAAATGGATACGTGCTGCATATTCATATCTTATTTGTCTGATTATAAGTTATGGATCCTTTCCACTCTGTCCATTTCCGTTACTATTATATTGTATTTTATGTGAAAAATAATCATATTACCAAACTCTCAACAAAGTAAATGTACTCTGTATTCAGTGAAAAGGCAATACAAAATTGGTGGAATTATCTGGCCAACGTTGGAGATTGTCTGTGGCAGAAAGTGTGTGTGAATACCAAAAATCGTCAGTAGAGAGACAGATCGGCCCCTCCCACAGTCTGAGATGTTAACGGAATGCAAATTGCATACAAAATGTTTCAGCTGAAAGGTCACGCAATATGACCCAGATGAGACTTAACTGAATATTTTGTGTTAGTAATCCCAAGTAACAAAGAAAAAATAACTTTAAAAGATTAAATCCATACACAATATATCTTTGCATAACATAAGTACTGAGCAGCAGCTGCTCGTGCTCCACAGTTCTCCTTAAGTGCAATTCTTATAGGTTTCATACAAAAGACTTGTGACAACATCCTTAGTTGGCAATGCATCAACTTCCATATTTGTGCAGACGATACTCAGTTGTATCTGTTGATCAAGCCAGACCAGACCGACCAGCTTGTTAGACGTCAAGAATGTCTTAGTGATATTAAAACTCAGAATTCTTCTCACCTACAAGGCACTTGCCAGTTTGTGGAACCAATTTCCACTTTCAGTTGGGGAGGCAGACACAGTGAGCTCATTTAAGATAAAGCTTAAGACTTTCCTCTTTGATCATGCTTATAGTTAGTGCTGGCTCAGGTTAGCCTGGACCCGCCCTTAGATAAGCTGCTATAGGCCTAGACTGCCAGGGCACTTCTTAGGACGCACCGAGCACCTCTGTCTCTGTCTCTCATTCTCTCTCAATAATGCACATCACTAATTCAACTTCTCCCCCAGAGGTCTTGTGCCTCGCATTGTTCCGTATTGATCGTGGTTCCGTCTGGACTCTCGTCTTGCCTCCTGCCTGGCCTTACTGACACGTACCGCTTCTAACACCATTATTATTCCCATTACTATTACTGTCAACAGCCTGTTCATGTCTCCTGCCATGGACCTGCTGACATGTGCCACCATTTTTATTATGAATATTAACCACATTACTATTACTGTCATCATACACCCACATTACCCACTTTGCTTCTTTCCTGAAGTCTTTGTGGTTTCCTACAGGTTCCTGTGGATGGCGGTTACACCATCTACACCTACAGGTATAGGTGTAGATGGTGTAACGGCTGGTGTTACTACTCGCAGTATTTGAATCATTTCTGTCGTATGAATTGAATGTGTTGTACATCTTTTGCGGTGTCTATTCTGCACACACACATGACATCCATTGCAGTCTGTCCATCTCGGAAGAGGGATGTAAGGTTTCTCCTAAGGTTTCTTTTTCCCATCAAAGGGCTTTTACCTTTTTGGGGGAGTTTGCCGATGTGAGGGTTTTGGGGCGGAGGATGTTGCTTGTGTACAGACTGAAAAACCCTCTGAGGCAAATTTGTAATTTGCGACTTTGGACTATACAAAATGAAATGAATTGAATTTATTTCAATGTGGGGTCAAGAGCGATGGTAGTTTGTATCACCAAACCAGACGATATGTAGATATGTAGATATTTTGATGTTTTTTATTTCATTTTTTTTATGCCCTTGAGACGTGTGTGAATATGTTAAGCGTTGGCCAAACCGCATTCAGCTCAAACCAGTCTCACAGGCACAACTTGTAGACATGAGGACATTGAGCACTTGCCAAACACAAGCGGTGACGGTTCAAGTATTTTCTGTGTGTGTAGGAAACAAAAGACAAAATTCCCATTATCAGTCATGTTAAGAGTATCTGCAAATAAATGATATATACAAATATGCACGATTGAGCTTGTTTTGTTCTCAGGAGTTATCAGTGTTTACTAAAAGAAGGTGACTCATCGGGCATGTTTCGTTGCACATTCATACGCAAAGAAAAAGCCACATGCAACTTTGCTCCTTTTATCTTGTGCTTCTTGTTAGCTTTTTATCAAATGTGGGTGCACCAAGGTCTACTCAGGGAGGTACTTCCTCTTTTAGTTCTTACTTGAGTTTTGAGGAATCACACGTTCCCGTGCAGACTGACGGTAAACAGGGGGTGTATGACAGGGTGGAATTAGTCAGGATTCTCTCCTGGACTTGTTGCTTGCACAAGCATGCTGAGATATTTCACCAGTGCTCACTGGCTGCTGTCCACATCATCAAATACAACAATTATGGCAGGAACGTTCCTTCAAGGTAGACATCAAAACATTCTGGTGTCATGTAATTATGTCTAACTATCAGATCTAATTAAGTTCACATTTCCCCAGGCTTTTCAGACAACACGTATGAAGGTCCAATGGGATTTCAAGGTCAGAATCACAAGACAGCAGAAATCCTTTAAAGGCAACATAACAAGATTGAACATTGAAGATTGAACGTCGTAAACAAGAAAATGTCATACTTGTGTCAAACTACGACTGAAAGCCTTTATTAACCTGTGCTGTGTATAAAGTGTTTCTGTTTAGCTGGAGGATCAATGTTGTCTCATAGTTGCATGTATGTAAGACTTCTCTCCGCTGACTGCAGTGACCTCCGTGCTGCACATCTCAACACCAAGTGTGACACGGTGACTTCCAGAGAACATCTGTCGAGCCTGACCTCGACTCAGCAAAGCGTCAGCACGGCTCTTTGATGAGTTACGACTGACTCATATAATGTCTTAGCCTAAAACCTTCAGTACGTTATATTATATTAACATTTAATACATACTTTTTGACATGTGGTACACAAACTACAACTAATAATTATGAACAAATACTCACTTATACTTTATGTTTACTGCAAATCTCAGCTTGGTGGCACGCTGAAAGAAATTAAGAAAAGACGGTAAACATCATACCAGTTAAACATGAAGATTGAAAAAATTCACAGCGACAAATTCTGGTGAAATATGGTATAAATGTTCAATCAACATCTAATTGTGACTTCACCTGTATTCGTCTCGTTATGTATACTTGTTTACGTGATTAAATATACAGATACGTTCTTCACTTAAGCCTGACGTAGAGAAAATGAACATAATGCACGAATGACGTACATGCAAATATGGCGGTGCCGAGTCGACATCTCCCTAAATGTTGCCGTCCTGATTGTTTGCATTTTCTCGCGGCTCACTCCCCTTTCGCTTCCTCCCCTTTTGCTTCCTCCCCTTTTGCTCCCTCCAATGGTTCTCAATAGCTGCCTCCTACATTCGTTTCCAATCTGTAACGCAGCTTCTCGGCTACTGAGACCAGCTTTCATAATCACCGCAGAAACACCCATCAAGCTTATATTCAACACACATTAGTGAAACACAGCTAAGCCAGTTCATACCGGGTGTGCTGCGAGGTAATGATGCAGAGCTTCCTGTTCTGAAAGTGTAATGTGTGTGAGATTTTATGAAGGAGGTGGCTCTGTTTATAAAAGCTCTTGCTTTGTTTTTATTAAATTGTGATATTTGCATCTATTTGCAGCTCTTTATCAGTACACGGCACCGGGTGGCTACCCGAGGTGTTCCACCCACTGACATCACGCCATTTATTAAGCCATTTCAGTTTATGCACTCTGACAATTTTGCAAAAAGCTCGAATTAATCGGTCTCGTTGTGTCCCGTGGACAGACAGTGATAGCATTCTTCTTTGGTAATTAACACTGGTCAGTCTTTGCTTGTTGACGTTGGCCGTCCTCATGAGCTTGTGCGTCAGCCTGTCATCCAGGAGGTCCAGCAACAGCACTTCTCACGCAAACAATCTCAGTGTGTTTCTCACACACGTTTTACTTACTTAGGGGCTTGTGTTTTCAATTCCCATAAATCATTGTGTGAGGTGGGACAATAAAGTCGCTGGAAGTTGAACTGGAAAAGGATCCATCTAATGACAAGGAATAGGCACAGTGTTGTGCGGTTGTGGAAATACACATATGGTACACTGATTATTTAGTTGCTTTTCCACAGCAGCAGTTTAGTGGGACAGGCCCTTAGGGGGGCAGAACGCTGGAAAAGAGGCTTGATTTATGTCACTGATTTTCACAACCTTTCCACTCAGGAAGCACAACATGCAAATGGGTAACCTTGTTTCTTTTTCATTCAAAACAACAAACTAGAATCCCCTAACTGGTTAGTTCGATGCCATTTTAACAAAGAAAACATTGTATTATTGTGTAGTGGAGAAACGCTGCTTAGTAAAAATAAATTTGCCATATAGTTTTTTTCTGGTTTGTCTGTGAGCTGGCAATTGGTATGCAAGTAACAATTGAATGTCTCTTTTTATTTTAGTGTTAGATTTGATTTGTGATGGTGGCTTTGCAGCCATTTTGCTATTGTTTTGTTGATACATCTGCTTTTTCTGTAACAATATGCTGAGAGATTGGTGTTAAATATATAGTGTTTATTTTGGCTTTAAGGCAAACAGGTCATCCAAAGACACAGAGTAAGACCATCTTCGTATGCAATGTCATTTAATGCCCCTGGTAGCAATGCAATCTGTTTTTATAATCACCGTGTAAACAGAAACAAAGGCATTTTCTGCTAAAGAATGCACCATGTATTGTTACCTCCTATCAGCACAGCCGCTGATACAGTGGTGTCGGTTATCTGAAGATGTAAATACCTGGCCACCGCCTGTTTCTGCACACGGTGCTGCATAGAGCCTTTATGAATGCTTGTGTGCGCAAAAGCCCCTCAGGAGACAGAGCCATGTGCGTCATACAATGGC